CCCCCAAAACCCCAAAACCCCAAAACCCCTTAATTTTTGGAAAGTTTTGATTATACAATAAATTTTAAATTATGAGCGCCATCTCAGGCAAAGAAGAAAACAAGCTTGGCAAGAATCAGGGTAAGGTTTACTTTATTCTTCGAGCAAGTTTGAGCGAGATTTTAAGCACAATGTTTCAAGTTTTGTATGCTGTTTTTAAGAAGTGAGATGTGCATAAAATATATTCATTAAAGAGACTAACATTTTGATCATAACATGTTTTCAAGAAATTTTGCGGAGATATTTTCTAAAAGCAGGTTAAATCACCTAAACTTCATTCACCTAACTTATAACTCCCAAAACTTAGACTAAATAACTCTAAAATATAGTCAGGCCTGAACTTAGCAGTAATCGGTAAGTAAAATCCCAACATTCCTCTTCTGATATAACAAAACCAGGTTTTGAATATCTAAACTTCATAAAAATACTGAATCCTTATTCCTAAATTGACAGAATGATTTTTCTAGGTCTCTGAAATACCTGGAAGAGGAGAACACTGTGCTAAAATAAGCAGTATCAGACAATGATGATTAAGAATATCAGGCTAGAAGAGGACCTTAAAGCAAAGACTAGTGAGGTAAGACCCCGTTCCTCAGTAATAGCTCCAATACTGTAAAGCTTTACTTCAGAATTTAATGAAAGATAAAGAAAATCAGGATAGCAATGAGAATAAAGGCGTCCACGAGACACCTAAAAGCGCCAGGATTAGTGATGCCGAGGAAAAGAATGCACCTAGAAAATCAATCAAACATGTGTCGTAAGTTTCAAGGTTATTTCGCTTTAGATTTGCAGATGACTTTCCTAATTCTAATATGAATGAAAGAGAAGAACAACGAGTCGTCCATAAATCTGTTAATTTGAGCAGACATTCGTGCCTGAAAGCGAGTGGGAGGAGATCCCAACAGGAGAGCAGGCATACTAATGTCACTTTTCAAGAGAAAGAAAGGGAAGTTTCTGATTATAACTCCGAAGAATATCACAAAGACAGTGATGTGCCATACATCCGCCGATCAGGTATATTTCTACATTACTTTAGAACTCGAAAACTTGAATTCAAGTCTTGACGAAACCCATGATCTGGAGGTCACTTTTTCTGACAAAGAAGGTAAGTAGTTACTCATAACCTCCAGATTCAGGGAATGAAGAAGGTGTCAACCTAGATTCTTCCTCTGATGAAGAAGAGGAGAGAGATAAAATGACGACCCCCATTAAGGAAGGTAAGCTATCCATCTAGATACCTCTAGAGGCAATGTCATAATTTATAGCTAAAAATGAACTCAAAGATACTCAAGAAATCGGGGATGTCTCTGACATCCTCTTCGAAACTATGGAAAACAACGATGAAGAAACATTTGAAGTCCATCAAGAAGAAATCAAGGAAACGCCTCAGATTATTGGATCTAAGAAAAAGAGCTTAGCTTCTATGTTTGATCTTCGAAGAGAGAAGAGTTCTAACTCTGACATTAGTCCTCTCAAAAAGATTATGGGAGGAGTTCCTGGGCCTCGAGGGGGTACCCTCGCTCAGAAGTCCTTCTATCAGCCCCAAGAAAGCGTTGACTATATCACTACACTCCAGAAGAGTATAAATAACAAGAATGTGATGCTTCTTAGTCCTCGGTTTGAAGGCACACCTTATTTAGAAAATTCTATCAAGAAAGGAAGGAAATATTACAAAGACGAGCTTGATGGAGCTAATATTTCTGCAAATAAGTCAAAAATGAGGATAAATCCGCTAGATTTGGACCAACTTGACTACTCAGCTTCGAAGAACCTGAATGCTGAATATAACAAATCCATTAGTACAATGCTTAATGGAGATACTTCAGTACAGCCAGAATTTGAGGAGAGCAAATATGCGTTTGGGGATGATCTTAATGAGACTGGGAACATACTAGCAGACACCTCTGAATTACTTGATATGAAAATCCCTCAAATAAATAAGACCAAAATTAATGACATGGGAAATTATAACGCGAAATATCACAGTTTCTTTGAAGAATTTTATATCATAGGGGTTGATAGTCTCACTCTTGGCTCTTTAAATCAGCCAGAGATAGTTTTGAGGCCATCCTTACTCAAGAACTACCCTAACAAGCCTGAGCATAAGGAGAGGCATGGGGTCATTAAGGACTTCTGCTTCCCTGTGGGAATTAATGTAGAGGAGATAGACCTTTCCTCTCCAAGACAGGAGCAGAAATTGAATGAGATCTTATTCTCAAAGCCAATAGTTGTTGAAAACTGATTCTTATTTACCATAAATGCTAATGATTATGAAAAAGGCATAATTTATCAGGATGAATACCTCAACTGACTTGCAGTCATTGTGGATGAAGTCATGAAAACCGACCATGATAGTACGATTATGAGTGGCGGAGCAGAGCAAGATAAGCTCTATATGGTACAGAAAGCTTATTGACTAATGTTCAGAGGTCACCATTTCAGATTCCAGTACCAAATTTTGTCCTCGCTGATTAAGATAATCAAGCATGAGAGAACCTTAAATGTTCAGAATGATATTATTGATCTATTCAAGGATGAGAATATTTTCAAAGATTATGAATATCTTCTTTCCCCAATGTTTTCAATGATTTCTACTCCAATATTTACAGATGAGATGAAGAACTTCTTGAATAAAATTCTTGATTTAGTTCCATCTGACTATCTGCCTGAGGAGATGATTAAGGTGAATTGACCTCTAAATCTCAGCACTATAACCTACTTATTCCCTCAAAATGAACTTCATTTGGCAATAAAATGGCATGGACCATTCTTCTTCAGCAAAATTGACTTCGGAAAGTTCTTCTACCTCTTCAGAGCAATCTTGTTGGAGAGATCAGTTGTCTTCGTTTCAGAAGACAAGAACTTCCTGTCATCAATTATTAATGGCTACAGGACATTGTTGAAGCCTTTCAAATGGTGACATATCTTCATTAGCATACTTCCCAAACTTCTGATAGATTATATGTGAGCACCACAGCCAATGCTGCTCGGTATCTCCAATAGAGAAGGATTCCTTGAAGAACTTGAAGAAGATGCCTGAGACGAAAAGATCTGGGTAGAACTCGACCCCAAAGATGGCGAATTCATTCAAATCCATGACTCTCAGACCATCCCTGGGTGTAGCCTTGGTGGCTTAGACACTCAATTGAGGGAAATCTGGTGAAAAATAGACCAGCTCAATACCTGTGACTTTAGACAATCTACTTACCAAATAAATGACGAAGAGGTAAAATTATGCAAAGATATCGCAGAATCTATCGAAGATGCTATTGATAAAAAGATACTCTACTGGGTGAGGAAGTTCAAGAAGCACTCCTCAGCCCAGTCCTTTGCTAATGCTGACCAAGAAAAGGAGTACACAGATTGACAGAAAACCATTATTGAACGCGCAGATGTAGTTGATAAGGAGTTCTTAGAACAGTTTGTCGAAACACAAATGTTTGCTTATTATTTCGACTGATGCTAATTCAACTAAATTATGTATTCTAGGGGTTTTGGGGTTTTGGGGTTTTGGGGTTTTGGGG